GAAATATCAGATCATGAAAAGACAAATCTTTCCAATAAATGAAGAAAATTGTTTGTGGTCCTTTTGTTGTTCAGTCTACAATGAACATTTATTTAAACCAGATGTTGAATCAGAAAACGAATCAAATATAAAGCTTGAGTTTAATCTGTGATCAGTCTTCACTGTTTACATGTTGAAAAAAATCTCATCAGTCCGATCGGCTGCAGCGTCCAATCACATGACTGATGAACAATGAGGGGGCGTGTCGGCCGTTAAAATACTTCCTGGAAGTCTGTTCTCGTGGGTCCTCGCTCATGGCTCCTCGGAGATCCCTCCTCTCTTCTCGATCCTCTCTCCTCAGAGCTAAATAAGAGCTTTGGGACGATAATGGCGGCGCAGAACAACTTCCGGTTCAAGCGAGGATCAGGAGCGAGGAAATGACAATTAAGAGACTTGGGATGTACCCTATAACCTCTCTCTCCCCCATGTGTGTCACGGTGTGTGTACATCTCACTCAAGTCAGGAAACTCGTCAGAATACCCATATTTGATTGGATGAGCTGCATCACGTGATGTGATTCACAACGCATAAAAAATGCCCTTCAAAATAAAATCACAACTTTTTTTTTTTTTTTTGTCAGGCAAAGGCCCGCGACCCACTGAAAACGGGTCCGCGACCCACTTTTGGGTCGCGACCCACCAGTTGAGAATCACTGCTATACAATATGACTTGCCTTATATATAGGATGCACAGCAGGCAGCTGTCTCAGCGTAGCCACACAAAACACCTCTATCACCAGGTGAGTCCTGAGCAGGTGAGACAGCAGCTGGAACACCTGGAACTCAGAGTGACGAACCCACATCTTAGCCAATAGCCAGGCCAGGGGCGGGTCTCTGGGCAGGAATATGGGCGTGTCCAGGCCCGGAGTCTGCTCCAGCTGAGGACAAGGAGGTGGAACTGTTACAGTTCTGTTCCACTGCAGGCCTCCCGGACCGTATGATAAGCCGTTATTACCCACCACTTTTGTTTCCACTGTAGCTTAGAAGCTGCAACTGAGGATGATACAAAGCTGTGCAGCCTGTCACTGATGTTCATACATGTTTTTAAGCATACATTCAGTTTTGTCTTATATTTAATGTTGTCAAGTTTACGTTCAGTATTTTACAGGTTTTTGTTGAATTTTCACAGATTTTCACGACGTTATTTCAGATATACATTCAATATTCTGAGATTTTGATAAAATGCTCTTTGCATTCAGGTTTTCACAAAATTATCTTAGATTTTCTTTCATTTTTCTATGATTATATTAAACATTTCTCAGGTTTAAATGAAGTATTCTCAGGTTTTTCTATATTTTCTGTCAGATTTATATAAATATTTTCAGGTTTTCATTCAATATTCTCATATTTTCAGTATTCTAAGTATGCATTCATTAACCTCAGACATCCTTTTTAGGTTTTTCATTCAATAACTTGATGGGTGTGAATGAGATACCTGTATAGCAATAGGTATGAGTCCGTCATCTGGGTGTTGGTACAGGAGACAGAGTGGAGCAGCAATGTACTGAGGTTTGCCCCTGATTGTATTGGTGGGAACCCCATCCATGATGGCGTAGTCCAACAGGTAGATGTTACCTGCCTGGACAGGAGAGAAGCAGAATATTAAGAAGAATCTGGACATGAAAGGAGCAGAGAGTATGAGCTGAATGAACGGAGAAATGACACAATTATGCAGTTGCTGTATTTGTTGTGTCACAATAATTAGTATAGATCATAGTGACAACATTTCTCCACCTTGAGTTCTTTGTCCAGGTTGGTCCTGGGAGCCATGGAGCTCTGCACCATGTCTGGTACTACAGGGAAGTTCTCTGGCAGCTTCTTGCACCTCTGGATCATCCTCGGGTTGGAGCCGTTCATACACTGGTAGCCAAAGAACTGGTCCTCCTTCCAGTGCTCCATACAGTACTCTGAGTAAGAGACACACACATACTGGATGAGTAATTAACCCTGGAGGTCATTGTCAGATAAATCTGTATCAAGTACTGTACTTGTTAGTCAAGTATGATCAGTCATGTTAACAAAGATAATAACTGTTGAACCAAGGTGTCCTCACCAAAAAACGCAGAATAAGTCGTCTGTGGTCAGCTGATTACGATCCATATTTAAGTTGTTTATTAGACGGCGACCTCTAGAGGCCAAAGTAATTATGACAGAAGCAAAGACAAGTCAGGTGACTTAGTATAAAGAGAGAAGAAGTCTGCATAGGAAAGATGTTGGGGTGGATGGATGGGAAAGGACGCTCACTCAGGAGACCGCTGTTTGTGTTTCATGTTTTAAAACCAAAAGTGAATACGTTGAGGTATTTTAAGTTACGTTCTTAACTAGTGTACTTGTTAGTACACAACTTATGCAACATACGTAGCTATATTATTTTGAACAAAACCATGATATTTTCTTTAACTTAACCAAGTAGTTCTGTTTCACGTTAACAACGTTAAATACAACAGTCTTTGGGAGTCATTGACCTATTCTGTAGTTATAGGTATGAGAATGTGTTGATTGAACAACTACACCTCCCATGAAGCTTTGATACAACGTCTACTTCTATGACTCACATTACAGCTTTAAAGAGAGTGGTGATAGATTCCCTCTTTAGCAAAACACATTGTGTAATAGAGGCTTCGACAAAAGTTAGTCGAGAAGAGATTAACTAGCTAACAGCTGGCTTGACCCGTTTGTCTGACAGTCAAAAACATCTTCGAAAGTCTTACTAAAGACCTACATATGTGCTGTGCATGAACAGCAAGCTACCAAGCATGTTAGCCAGCTAACTTTGGGCTTTAAGACCTTTAATCTTGGAAAGCACATATATAAAGGCTCAAGTATGCTTCAAAGAAAGTAGGCTGTAGGACGTGCTGTCTGACCACATCGAAAGCCAAAATGTTAAAATGACAACTATTAAGAGTTTTGTCTTTAATAACTGAATTGATTTTCATTGTGAGATGTATTCCCCATGCCATATTAAAATCAAAACACAGAAAACACAGAAAACAAATTGTCAGGCTGTCCGTCATGGCTGCCATTAGCTTGTGTCAGCCATGGTTCCACCCCCAAGCTGTGATTGGACAGTTGATTGTTGTTCATTTTGGCATAAACAACACATCTCCATCTCAAAAAAAGAGAAAGCTTCCTTTCACCTCATGAAAACTAATGACAGTGTTTTGCATTTACTATTGGCAGGTCTACGCTGACACTGAAATAATAACATGGAAATCCATGTCACAATAAAAAACAATTCATTCAGTAACTGAAGATAATAACGGCAGTTATTTGTGTTTTAACATGTTTATTTTGTTTAATTATGACACAAGTAATGCATACATAAAAAGCAAATATATATAACAATGTGTATCATATTTCACTTTATTTCTGTGATTTGTTTTTATTTAGGCATTCTAAATCTTCCATACAATGAATGTGTGTTCATAAAAGGATTGTATATATTAAACATATTACATTTCTTGTCTATAAAAAAGGTCATTTTCCCAATCAGGTTTGGGGAGGAGTGCGTAGTGTGTATTTACCCACCAGCTATGGGGCTTCGCAGCTTCCAGAAGATCCGTTTGAAATCGTCCAGGTCGCTCCAGGACTTCCCGAAACTGATGGCCAGCTTCTTTAGGGACAGCTCCAGCAAGCTGATGTAAAGAACGGGTGCATGTTTACTTGATGTTCATCACGTTGTTGGCCTACAGATCTGATTAGGCAGCACAGTGTAGGAGCTCAACTCTTATCTAGGGACCAAAAGTCTTTGTGAGGACCAGTGTCAGCTTTAAACTCTCGTAGTGAGGATATTCATGCATTGTGAGGACATTGTCCACGGCCCTCACTACTTTAGAGACTGTTTGAAGGTTCAGACTTAGTCTTAAGGTCAAGCTTAGAATTAGGTTTAGATTAGGATAAGGGTAAGTTGTGGGGTTATGCACTCTATTTGGCTGGTTAAGGTGTAGGATCAGAGGCCAGGGAATGCATGTTGTTAGTGTGGGTCCTCACAAGTATGGAAAGACAGACGTGTGTGTGTGTGCACCACCTACGCATAGTGTAATGAATGTTCAAAGTCGCTCCTCTTCTCGTTGTCGAAGCGGACATCTTGAGGTAGATCTGCTTCTGTTTTAGCGTCGATACATCTGGGCAGCCCTGGGGTCCACGTTACCCATCTGAAAGACAGCGACACACAGCATGATACCAATATGAATACATTAAAAACCTTTGACACATCCAGTGTGTTTGTTGTGTCGTTGGGTGTGTGGGACCTGTAAGTTGTCTGTCTCTCCTGCAGCTCTGTCTTCCTGTGAGCCAGCAGCTGGGGTAAGGAGTCGTCCCTCAGTGTCTTCGCTACACGAGCAGCAGCAGGAGGAGGGAGACAGGAAGGCGCACCTTTAGCAGCAGCTCAGACCTACAGGGGCTCATGACCTCTGCACTAACGTTTTAGAGGCATGTCTTCCTCTGCCCACAAATTGTGTATTTTTTTATTTTGGTGAAGAAAAACCGAGGTGTGTGATGTTATCTTGTTAACAACCAATTGGCCTTCGGCAATGGGTAAACATGTTTTTTTGTTATTATTCTTCCCCTACAACACAGGCATCATCCATTTCTACATCCATTTTTGCAAGGGGGAAAGAACTTGCTTCGACTTGTAGTTTTTGCTGGGTTTAGGTTGTTTGACATAACAGTAAGAGGCAGAGTGACTTCACCTTCAACCTGCTGTTTAGACTTTTGTCATCAGGATGTGGTCCCGCTGTACAGATCGCATTTACACCGGGCTGACATCCGTATACAAGACCACCTCCGAATGCTGCATTTACAACTGCACTAACATGTGGTTTTCCAGATCCAGGTCACATGTTAACGCTATTGCAAGGCTATTGAATGAAGGCTGGTACACTGGGAGTTATGGGGTTTGGCACATGTGCATTGTAACTAGAGTGTAAGTAGATGTTGGAGGGTTACAGCAGCCTGACAGAACTTTTAGGGTATGCTCAAATGGACATTGGCAGAAATACAATATTCTATTTTCAAATAGAAAGTGTGTCTTTATGGTCTTTTATTAAAGATCCTTTCATCCCCGACCCTGACGATCTGAAGCGTGACATCTCCTCTTTTAACCCCTTCTTGGTGATGAAAACTCCAAGTTCCAGAGTCTCAGCTCAGTTTCTTAGAAATTGCATTCATAATGGATTATTCACCAGGTCAGCATTTAGATTTTAGTAGTGTGTCCTTTCAGTAAAGATTGAGAAAGTAATAGTGTGGAGGTCGGGGTGATGGAACCCAAACCCAAACTCTACACTGCTCCATCCATTGAGGCACAGGCTGGTCCGTAGCAAAAGCTGATTATAAAACTGCTGAAAGAATGACCTGTTCACACACACACACCAGGATTTGCATGTTATTGGCCTTGTGCCAGCACTAAAATAGAACTTGATGCTTGACTGTCAGGAGAAGTGTGTCCCCTGCATCCAATGTAAGAGCTGCAGGCTCACATGAGTAGTTGGTTCTGAATTCCTAGAATCTTTCCTACCTGTTCCCTCTCTTATCTCCACCTTGATGTCTCCTATCAGCCAGCGGTGACACGGGAAAGTCAGCACTTTGTCTTCACCTGGAGGCTCCACCGTGACGTAGCGACAGAACCAGTTATCTTCCAACCAGTACCTCTGTTTCTCCAGTCTGACCAGTAGCAGGGCGCCTAGATGCGAAGGGCTGGTCACCTTGTACTGATCCACCTGACACAGATGGAGGGATGGAGAAGGAGGATTGTACCTGCGATCACTGTCTGAACGCACATCAGGCCACTTGCTATCACTTGTTGTCACTCCTCACACACTTACCGCTCCACGACAGAAGTCCAGTCCGGGGTTGTCCATCAGGGTGCGTTCGCTCTCCCCTTTCTCCCCCACCAGGGTCACGTAGATGTAGTTGTTGGTGCCTGAATACTCTGATGTACCAGTGGCTACGTTTACAGTGTAGACCTCCATCTGAGGACGTGAGCACACATGCAGCTGAACATTTAACTTCTTGTTGCAAATTAGTCTGCACTGATTAGACCCGATGGCCCTCCTTCAGGTCACCATTCTAAAGCCTATGCTTTATTTTATGCTATATAATGTTCCACTGTGGCGGCCCGCCAAAGTCTATTTCGTCACGCCACAGTTTCATAATAAACCGAAAATAATTTGACAGTTCTCAACGGTTGGGCTGGTTGGCTCTCTTCTAGTTTGGCTTGGATGTTTCAAAAAGTACCAAAGTATTGGCATCAAAATATACTTAAAGTACCAAAAGTAAACGTATACTCATTTCAAATAATATATTTACGGTTGGCCAATATCATTGGATTATATTTATTGATGCATTGATGTGCTCTTCACTTTAATGTTGCAGCTGATAACGGTGGAGCTCATTTTAGGTATTTTATATACTTATTAATATATACTCCTTCATAATAAATCATAGTTTATTAGTTGATTTATATTTTGTATTAATAATCAGAATCTGAAGAGTAGCCTAACTAGTAACTAAAATTGTCAAATAAATGCAGTGATGTTAAAAGTACTAGTGTAGTGGATTTGAAGTATAAAGTTACATAAAATGGAAATACTCAAGTAAAGTAAGCTACAACTACCTCAACGTTGTACTTAAGTACAGTACTTGATCCAGCATACAGCTAACATATCATCACTTTGCACTCAAAGTGCACCAAATTAATACATTTAACCTTAAAATGTACTAAATTGTCTTCTGGGGAAGCATAGAGGCTCCGACGACCACCCGCCACAGTCTCACAAAATCCTGTGAGCTGCTACCCCATCCCACAACTTTGGGACTGATACGCCCAGTGGGAGCCAGACCTGAACAGCCAGTCTGGTCTCACCTAAACCTAACCCCCCCCCCCTAACCCTACTCAGCTGCTTCTCAATTGTCAACAGTGCAGCATTAGCAGTTAGATAAGATGATCATGTTGATATCTCAGAGGAAGCCCGCATATTTTCACAGGAAATGTTCACTTACTATCAGCATTACCTCAAACGTTTTTACTGAGAAATACTTAACAACCATCGTGACTCAATTCACAGCAGGCCTCATCTATGAATCATGAGAAAAGAGAATTTGTGCGTAAATGAACTTTACGGACCATTTTTACTGCAATTTGTGCAGCATGTCAGAAGGAATCAAACTCTTCATCAAAGTGAATAAAGTGTAGCTGTCACATATTGTGTAAAAGGGACTGGCAGGCTGATATGAGGATAATTCCCTGATACTAATTTGAATACCAGTTCCAGAAGTAAGCTAATGTTTAAACCACACTGATGCAAATGATCTGATGAGACAACAGAGAAGTAGTCTGACAGCCCGCGTACCTCGAGCAGGAAGTGACTAAAGTAGCTCCTGTGACGGCCTCTGACCTAGGCAGGGCTCCTCCCGTTTTCTTGGGTTTTTCCTTTGGCAGGTAGAGATAGACGGAGCCATCTTATGTTATGTTTTGCCTCTGGGCCGGATGGGCCGAGGTTATTTAGACTGGCTTCTCATTCTCTCTCTCCATCGAGCCTTTAGGTTTGGTTTTCCCTCTTTGTTTTGCCTTCACAACACCACACCTACATTCCACATTACAAACACCACTGACTTACGGACTCCTGTATCATCGTCTTAGTTTCAAATAATATATTGTTTAAATTACTTTTAGCCATGTCTACACGTATACAGATATTTTTTTAAACAATATTTGGAGGAGTATTCAGGTAGATGTGTACATGTGTAGCGCCCACCCTCTGGTTCTCACCTAACACTGTCAGCTCTGCTCACACTGTTGCCGTAGTTTGCGCTGTTAGCTCTGTCAGCGCTGTTAAACCTCCAGCGGCCGGCTTATCCGTCGCCCCGTTGACAGAAAATCCCTCAAACATAGATTTGGTCTGGGCTCCTTTAAATTAAATATATATATTTATACTGTATACTGTATATGTGCATGTGAAGCTCCAAGCAGTAACGTGTTGCTTCTGCATTGAGCCAACACCGTGGTTTTACCAAATACAGTGATACGCTCCCATGGCAGGGTCAGCTAAAGTATAGACTGCTGTGAGAGCAAACAGATCCACTAAACACTTCAGAGTCGGATGTGGCTGCAGACTCCATGAATGGGTCTAGGAACATCGTTGAGTTACTTCAAACACTTGGAAGCATCTTCATAATAATGTAAGTGATACTTTCACATGGTCGACAAGACTCTTTACCAAAGGGTGAAGAGTTTGAAGGCAAATCTGAAGTTTGAATACTGCAATAAAATCTTCATTCAAAAAATACTTGTTTTGGGAGTCCACATCAGCCGAGAGGAATTTACATTCTTTAACAAAAGTTACTGTCAACGCGTCACGTGAGCATTAGAGCAGATCCACAGTGAGAAAAAGACTCACCTTAGTCCAGAATGGTATTCACAGCTGAGTGTCAGTCCCCTCCTCTTCTTTTCCTCTAGATTTCCTTTGGCTCCGTTTGTATTCTGGCACTTCCCTCTTTATTTCCTTTCCCCTCCGTGTCCAGTTTCTTCTCTTTTGAAAGTCTTCACAGATCTGTAAGTTCAACAGTTATCTGGTCAGCACGGCTGTTCTCTGCGGCCAGTTTGAATCTTTTTCTGCAGAGGTTTTTCTCCCCCTCCCTCTTATTTCACAGCTCCACTGACACTCTGCTCTTACACTCAGTCCTTTGTGTAGTCACACCTTGCTCTTCAACACACAGAGAGAGAGAGAGAGAGAGAGAGAGAGAGAGAGAGAGAGAGAGAGAAAGTTGCCAAAGGGAAGTTGGGTCAATATGAGGGCTGCACAGATGGGGCTGTAAGATAGCTCTCTCTCTTACAGAGCAGCATACCAGCAGCTGTAGAAGCTCCACATTCACAATGTAAAGAAGCACACAGAGTGACGCTAATGATTTCTGGCTCCATCTTTAATGGTAAAACTTGAAGAAAAATTGCAATATTTTGGGAAACACATGAGTCTGTTGTCTTTTATTATCTTTTTCATTACATTTTTCTTTTATTTATAATTACCATTTTGCTAATTTTTTCAGTTTTTTTAAATATCAGCCTCTACCTAACAGTTCAGATATCGCTTCAATATAAAAGTAAAATATAAACCATATGCTGTCATCATGCTAGTAATATGTTAGTAGATGCCATGTTGGTAGGTGTTCATTTATTATTATGAAATCAGTAGTATAGTATTATTTCCATGTATCTGTTCTAGATATCTAGGCTACCGTATTTACACAAACATCTCAGAAATGGTGAGAAATTATACTGCTAATATTTTTTCATCAAATACATAATGGTATAGCATTAAATATGATATTAACAGTGAATGTATATACGTTTTTCTATTTTATAAGAAAAAAGCATCGCTAATAACGATTCAACTGTTGGGAAAAGCATGTTTTAGACTGAAAAATTCTCTCCACAAGCTGCCGAAAACTTTGTTTTTATGCTGCACTTATTATCGTACTTGACACAATTGATACCACTTCAAATAAAAATGAGGAATTTGGATGCAAGGGGTCCGTGTTTCTTTTCTTTTTAATAAAAATGTAAATGAATCCTTAATTACATCATTACAGGTGTGATTTCATTCAAACAGGCCTTTCCTTTAGCAAATAGAAACTTGGAATGCTTGAAGATGCTAATGGGTTTTATTTTACACACAATACAGATATACAATTCATACATACACTGCATTAGATTCAACTTTACTGTCCTTAACTGGGGAATGTGCTGAATCCAACCAGCTATATAGGTTTGTCCCCTGCGATGTCCAGAGGGCCTCGGTAGTCTGTCAACAGGCTGCAAACTGCCCAGAGAGAGAGGAACAACCCCACCCCAGATATGGAATACCTCCACCCGTCGTATTGCCCCTTCCTCTGCCAGCATATCTTTCATTAAAAACATTTTGTCAGCCATGACTCCATCTTCAGGCAACAGAAGCTGTGTTAGACTTGATCTACGGGTTAGTTCTTTGTCAGAGATGGAGCCGGTGTACAGCTTGGATATGAATGTAACTACCCCACAAGGAGCAATGCCAATTAAACCTGGTCTCAGACGTCTGACAGCGGAGCTCAGTCCAGTCAATTATTACTCTCACATTGGGACAATAATGCCGGAACTTCTTAAGGCATTATTAAGGCCTGCACCTGCTCCCGAGGCCTCCAGGTAGGCTTTGAACCAAGGATTTGGTAGCTTGGCTATGTGATGATGGTTCGACTGACCGTCGATACGCTGATGTTAAATACTGATGCCAGATCCTTTTCTTTAAGTCTGCGATCCTGCAGAAGAACATGAAGCACTCGTCAATGAGAGGCAGCTTGCGGTTTGGGACCTGGTGTTCCAAATGCCATCCTCTGTGCCTTTGACCTGCAGACTAGGCTGGTAGCAGACGGAGGAAATGATTCCCAGAAAGTCGTGAAGACCTCCTCTGATGGGAATCTTGTGTAGAAGCGGAAGTCTTCGTCTGAGGCACAAAAGCGGTTCATTTGGGGCTGTTGTTGTTGAATGGTCAGCTGTTTGAGGTCAAGGTGTAGTTCCTGCACAGTTCAGTTCACCCGTTGTTGGAACAATACAGAACACTACAGTGACTTGTGCAGCTTGATTGCGCCATGGTTTACCTCAATTTCTCAACAGAAGCGGTGGCTATAGCAGTGGTAGTATGATAGTGTTTCTCGGTAAGGCCAGGAAAAGAACCGGACGTGAACCTCCACTGCCTCGGTCTATTAACGCTCTCGGAACGCGCAGCGCATGAAAAGGGCCGATTACATATTGTGACAAATAGTCGAGCAGAACAAACGTTTTTAAGTAACAAGATTGCCACACAATAATAAGCCAATACATTGATATATACGTATATATGGAGCAAGTTACTGAAGAGGACTAAATACGTTCACACCAAGTTACATTTGGTAATATGAGAAGCCCGGGGTTACATCACCCCCACGTGATGATGATGTAACAGCCCTGAAACACAGATGTTGTAACCCTAAAGGCTTGATGCACGTCTGTGGGAGTGTTGTGAACATTCTGTTGAGTGTGAAGGTTTGAACACGGTAAATGAATGTGAGCTAGTTGCTTCCTCTTCCCATCCGTCATTGTGTGTGAACTGGTTTAGATAAAGGGGATTCTCCTTGATGGATGCTGCCAGTGAGGGGTGACATGATGCACTCTCCTTTCCTTTAGTCTCTGTTAAAAGCCTGGGCGCAGGAATGTGACCAAGTTAAGAGACAGAGGATTGACTTTTAACTCACTTTTCTTTAAATATGTTTAAAGAATTAGGTCCTTAGCGAAGAGCTGGTGAAGTCTAACTGGGCATGCTTGCAGAAATGTGGAGCTGACATATGGGATAAAGATAGAATGGGTGAAAAGTTTTAGCTGATTCAGTGATACTCGGAAGCACAGGATCATTCTCAGCTGGGCCAGCAGGAAAGCTCACTTTGAGTAATTGTACAAACTCATAAATCTTTGTCCTCTCAGTGCTAACATAGCCTTCATTTCATGTTGTCTGGTCTTGGAATGCAATACCCCCCCGGCTCAAGCCTTGCCTGTACTTGCCAGTACACAACACACTCGACAGTGTTACACCTAAATCAGTCAGGTTTACCGCTGCACGGATGACTCTCCATAGAGAAAATGAATGTGAAAAATGATGGCGCCGGTGTGCTAAGACCATCATGTGGATGCATAATTCAGCAGACCTTTTTTTTTTTACCTGCTACATCCACTTTTTTTCCTCAGAACACGTGAGTGTGTGAAATTCAAACTGTTATGTGAAAACGACCAGGAAGACACATTGGCACATTCTCAGCTTAAAGGGACAGTGTGGAGGATATGGTGGCATCTAGCAGTGTGGTTGCAGATTGAAACCAGCTGAATACAACGCTCCTCCATGACTGCCCTAATGTGAGCCGCCAAGAGCAAAACCACTTACACAAAAACACAATTCTTAGTTTCAGGTGATTAGACACTAATGACAACATACTTATGAATATGAAATCCCTGAAATGATACACTGGGACCCTTTAAGTCCTTCCTGCTATCTTTGCTCGTCATCCAGCTGCGATCATCCTTCCATGTCGTTCAAGCTCATGTTCTGGCTGTGTTCATAAGCACGTGAAGAGACTGTCCACAAACCACACTAGTGTTGTCTCAGCGGACAAACTAAAGTCTGAATACTCGGAATCAGTATTTGACTCTATTCAGTGTCCCCTGTTCTCCTGGTCCCCGATTGATAACAGATGTGTGACCCCAGAAAACCACAATCCAATGCCTTAGTTAGTCGGCCTCCAAGGCTCCGTGTCAGCGGGTTGTCGTAGCGACGGTGGCAGCAGAGTACAGCAGAGTACAGCTGGTCGTCCAGCGTCAAACCTCCGAGCCGGGGACACCGCCGAGTGGTTAATGCTGGAGAGGTCACGGACGGGAGACGCCTTTCCTGGAAGAAAGAGCAGCTCAGAGTTGTCGAGGCTGATGTCAGAGGTCACACAGCCCGTTGTCTCCTACGTGAGCGCAGTCCACAGAAAACATTATATTTCCCACAATTTAAGCTTCTGCATTTTCCAAATGCACTAGTATTATTCAAACGTATTGTTCATAAGCCTCGTAGACAACGGTTTAATACGAATACATGATGTTACACCCCTAGAAACAAATAACCGTAGCTGTGGCGCCATCATGAGGTTATTAGGTGTTTCAGCTGCAGGACAGCACTGAAGGCCCAGGTATAAAATGCACGGCCCGCCACTGGTTTTCACACATCTGAGATTTCTGCCACCACAACAATAATATGGAGGTGAGTTGAGTTGAGTCTGTGCTGCTCAAAACAAACACAAAAATGTATTTTTAAAATTCCCAAAAAACTGAATCTCTTTCCTACGTCCTAGTTACAATGGGGAAGCGACAGAGCTCACTGGGTCACCTAATGTAATGTGGGGCAACAAACCCCTCAGGGATGAATAAACAGAATTATGGTTGTGATCAAATCTGAGGGTGAAGAAAAGTAGTGTATGTAACTCATGTTCGTTTTTTTTAAACTCTTTATGACAAAGCATACGACAGTCGTGACAAAACAAATAGCATACAAGGTACGTATAAATCCAAGAAAACCACTTCCACTAAGTGAAGGATACTCTGTTCTGTATACAAGAACAGCAGCACTTGGGACTGAAGCGGTCTTCGCTTATCTCATGTTAAACTACTTGTTGCCGATTAAAAGCTGGCTGATGTGACAGTAAAGAGTTCCCACGGGGCAGTGTAGCTCCCAGCTGGCAATATAGTTAAAAGAAATACTGAATACTGGAGAATGACTAATATTAAGAGGATTGCTGTATGGAGGCAACTAAACTCTGGTAATGTCACTAGTGAGTCAGTATCTTCTGTATCCATGGTAACTTCAATCGCATCAGTCCAGGTTGGCGACAATTTAGGAGCGGTTCGATCCGGAGGCTCCGTCCTCGTCGTCGGGCGGACAGGCGACGAAATCAGCCAACATGGACTCCATGGCTTCATCGTCCAGCTGAGGGACAGGCAGAGAGGGACAACGGCTGAGACATGCTTTCAAGCTTTAAAGAGAGCATAGATAATGGCCCTATCAGAAAGGGCTTCGTGACAGCAAGGTAAAGTAGTAAAATATTATTTATATAGCGTACACTTTCACTCATATATTTCATTAGGTGTACAGCTGCCCCGGTCCACATCAGTTCATTACTTTGCTCCCGTGCTGGTACTCCTGTCTGTCTCTATCTACTGTAAGTATGGAGAAGCACCTCATACACCAAACTATGTTAAGGGCTTTAAAATGTACCCAAAACTCAAAATTGTGAATATGTTACTAAATATGCGCCCAAAGGTTTACTTAACAGCAATTTCTTTCCCAGAAATCATGACCCGGTTTCATGTCGGAACCATTTTCTTCCTACCAAACTAAAACAGCCAATTTAAAAAAAAAGAAAACATTAAATAAACCATTTAAAGTGAGTATTAACTCATTCATTATTGAACACGTCATCTTCCCCAATATCAGCACCACGTTACGTTGTTTTTTCCAGGAGACATTTGAGACATTTTCAGGAAACTGTTCTGAAATGCCGTACAGCTTCAGGATGAGACATTGTGGTTACCTTTATACTGAATGCCGTGACTGATGTTGACATCGTTACTTTGTTTAGAGTGGCTGTGAGCTTGTTATTGATTCCACAGTCTTCTTAATTTCATTAGCATGATGAATGAGAATAAACTGTGCTGATGTTTAAGAAACAGTTAACCTACGTATAGATAAGTGTCTTGTACCTTTAATGATTATATCTCGCATATTCCATCCTGTAAGCATTTGAATCAGGAGACAAGTAAATCCCCCCAAAAATCACCATGAATCTTTACCTTTTTCTTCTCGGTGCTTCGCCCCGCCTCTTCCTCCCTGTTTGCCTCCTCATCTCTCTTCCTCTTCAGTCCTTTCCCCTCCTCTCCATCACTCTCTCTCCCTCCATCCATCTCCTGCTGCTCTGCTTTGACTCCGTCTCTCTTCTGGGCGTCGGGCGTCTCCTCTTGCTCTTTTGGACTTGGGCCCGTAGAGGTTTGGGGATCTTCTGCTGCAGAGTCTCCCTCTTGATCAGCGGCTAGCTGCTGCTCCTGATGACCGGGCGGCTGGTTATCGCTCACGCTGGCTTCCTGTGGCGGCTCGGCTCCTAACTCCTGTAGAGGTGAAGAGAGTCAGCTTCAGTTTCCTTCCAACAATAACACAGATCATAGAGGCGGCTATAGAAATACTCGTGTTGTGTAGAGAAAGTCTTGCTCATACGTATTCTAGCATGCCCCATAGTCACAGTCCACCGTCTCTCAGAGAGTGAACCACCTGTAGCATTGCTCGTACAGAGGCCAGCTGTTTGATTCAGCAGTGAAGAGGGAAAGGTTTCAACGTAACACTCATTATGCTAGTCTGAATGTGCCTTTGTTCAAACGGCCCTCTTTCTACAGTGAAAAGTATCATGGACACCGGTGTCCCTGATTATTCTGATAAGCGTCTGCCTTGTTTTTATCCAACACCACCCTCCATTGCTTCACCTCTTTTTCCAGACATTGTCTTTCTTTGCCTCTTCCCTCCCTTTTAACTCCTTACCTGTCGTACTATTTGTAACCGGCTTACTAATCTAATCTTCAACTAGAATCAGCCAAAACAAAACTCACACCTCAACTCCTTTTAGTACACTTTTATTAGGAGTCCTGATCTTTTGATACCTCCTGTCAGTGCCTTTAGCTTATACAATTTAAATGGACATTTCAACTCTTTTCCCCCAGTTTTGATAAACAAACAGGAGAACCGGAACAGGAGCAAAGTAATGTACTGCAATGAATGTATTTCAGACAACTAAAGACAATCAATATCTGTATGCGTTTGCTATATTTACAATATTTTCACAGCTTTCCCTTGCTGTCCCCTTTCCATCGGGGAACTAAAATGATGTTTCAGTCAAAAAGTCTTGTGGGAGAGCATAGATATCTGCTTCAGTTCCCCGACAGGACACTGTCTGTGTCTCCAGACTCCATCTACTGAAGGTAATACACTGACTAATGAGAGGCACCTCATACAACCCCACCTCAAAACATCCAAACCGGCCCTTTAAGCTTACTTCAGTGCTCACACTTCAACTGCTTTCACAGCTCAGGTTTCAAATGTAGTTTACTTTATATTATATATCAAACTTCAGCTCCTTTCCGCATGCTTAAGCAAATGTCCATGCTTAACCATGAACTCTTTTCAGCTATTACAAAACTCATACTTCAAGTCCTTTTAGTTGCTTAGACTTCAACAGCATCTCTGTTCAGCTAAATGCAGAGGACCCTTACAATTTCCTTTAGTACACTAAAAAGGGATAGTTTGACATTTTGTCAGCATCAGTCTTTTCATCCATGTTAAAGCTGTGGTACCAACCTGTTGATTCTGATTGGTTGTGGAATCTTCTGCAGTGGCTGCCAGCTCAATCTCATTGGCTCCCTGCTCCCACGACTCCTCCTGCAGCCCTACTTCTCCTCCCGCTCCCCCTCCTTCCTCCTCGGTCTCCTTCTCCTCCAGTGCTCCTCCGGTGACACACAGGATTTGCGGCATGGTGGGGTCGTCCATCCTTTCACTCTCGTCTTCCTCCCCCTCCCGCGCCTCCTCCAAGACTCCGATGCTCTCCACCTTTTGCACCTTTAGCCTGTCCTCTGCGAACAGCGATCTGTTGGTCTGGATCTCTTCGATCCCTCCTTCTGCTTCTCCCTCCACACTGAAAGCAGCCACCCCCTCTTCATCCACCGCTGCTCTGAGCACCTTCCCCCCCTCTATACCGGCCTCTCCATCATTGTCATCAGCTCCCTCCACTGGAGGTATATCCCCATCCTCATCCTCCTCCTCTTCCAGCTCTTCTTCGTCATAATTATCATACTCCCCGTCGTATAACTCATCCTCGGGGCAATCGCTCACATCCTCCTCCTCTTCTTCCTCCTCCTCCTCCTCCTCCTCCTCCTCCTCATCTATCCCCTCCTCCTCTTCATCCAGATCTTCATCCTCCTCCATGTCCTCTTCTTCCTCCTCCTCCTCCTCCTCCTCGTCGGTGCTGTTGATGTTGATGACGGAGTCTTCGTTGCTGGCGGGCGGCAGCTGGTGCTGGTGCAGGTGCCGTCCCTGCTGGCCCAGCTGATTCTGCAGCTGGTGCATCTGGAGCGGCAGACCCATGGGGCCGGGCTGGCCCGGCGCCGAGGGCTGCATCAGCATCTGCTGGAGCTGGGGTCTGCCAGGCAACGAGTCCCCCAGACCGCCCGGCGGAGCGGCGAGTGTGCTGGAGTTCAAAGGGGGAACCAGGGAGACCACGGAGGAGCTGGAAGAAGGGAAGGAGTTGATCGGCGTGGTGGAGGTGGTGAGTAGAGGGGATGAGGTGGCGAGGTCATTGGGGAGCGAGACCCTGTCTATTGTGGTTGCTGTGGTGGGGACCATGGCAACGGAGTCTCCTCCCGCTAGTGTGACTACAGCGCCTCCTGGTGCAGCAGAGGCCATGTTCTGAGAGTTTGCCCCCGCTGCTGCCGTCTCCTCCTGCTGGTTCTCCATGTTGAGCATCCCCGGGGGAACGATGACTACGCTGTCATCCGAGTCACTGGCCAGAGAGATCTCCACATCCTCCGCTTCCTCTCTGTCGTAGCGGACGAACACGGGTCTCTGCCCCTCTGGGAGGCCCAGCCCGGCAGGGTCCTGCTGGTGGGACAGGAGCATGTCTCCTGGGGTGGGCGCCTGGCCCGGCAGCCCCGGCACCAGGGAGAGGTGGTTATCCAGAGAACCCAGAAGAGAAGTGGGTCCCAGGCCGAGGGAGTGGCGAGTGGGGAAGGGAGGCCCGGGGGAAGGGCCCCCTAGGAGTGTTGGCAGGGTGAGTCCAGAGGTAGGCCCCTGGGAGGAGGGGAGGACTGGAGCACTCGGGGTGGGTTTCAGAGTGAGGGGGGGTAAGGGGAGGGCGATGGAGGGAGTGCGGGGGTGGAGGAGGGCGTTGCAGATGGTGAGAGCCTCAGAGCAGAATGTTGACACCTGAGACGATAGACACTCATTAACAACAGCTCCACACGTAAACATATTACATGACATATTAATATGGAAATTAGGCCTTTTGAGATACGTTATTGCATAACAATATACTGTGTATTATATAATTGGATTAACATTGTTGATTATATTTTGTATGTTTTGCTTTATCTGAAAGCTGACAATGTAAATGTGAGCTACTTTAGCTGAGTTCTAACTCATCTGCTCCTCAGACTGAACCACTCAGCAGTGTCTCCCTCAGAGCAGTCACCTTGAGGTTGCGGTCGTTGCGTCCGCTGCTGAGGATGGACACGGCACAGGTCAGAGGCGGAGGCCAACAGGGTGATGGGACCAGGACCAGAGCCAGCAATAACCTAGAAGATCCACAAGAACAGAACACAGATATGAGCCCGTCTACACTGCACGACACCGCAGCCAACAGTCTTCACCTCTCTCACCTTTGCTACCACACACCCCCACACACACACACACACACACACACACACACACACACACACACACAC